GCGTCCAAAGAGAATCCATTAAACAGCCCAATGGGCATTACATGGTGAATCGAAGGCCCAGTACAACCCAATAGGAAACCTAAAAGATAAGCAAAGAGAAACACGTGTCCTTCATAGGGTTGCAGCTCCACCGACAACGATGTATACAGTCACCGACGATGGAACCGACAAAGACACCTTCGAAAACCACCGGATCTCCATACCGGATCTTCCTACAAGAACAGAAAACTCCTCACCACCGAAATATAGCCACCGACCGTCACTACACAAGGCCAATCACCCTCTGCCATACATCAAGGCTTCAAGACYGGGACATTGGGGAGTTCTAACTCCCAGCCAAAGAGGACAAGTACCAGAAGATGGGTGAGAAATTCATAAAGCAGTTCCTGTAAAGAAGAAAGACAAGATCCGAACAAAGTCGGAAGGAAATATTCGCTAAACGGAAATATTTTACAGCAAAAGATAATATAAACAAACCTAGATCTAAAACACACGAAAGAGAAACAAAATAAAATATTTACAATCCGAAACGGCCGGGAAAACGATTTCAGAACTGGAAGTAGGAAAGTTCGAGAGTTTTTGTTCAGAGAGTATCTACTAGTACTGGTTATATTTTGGCTGATTTGTAAATATTATAAGWATTTAAATTATTTTTTGTAAATTTATTAAAAAAATTTCGGAATTGAGTATTGATATCTTTAATATAAAAACTTTCCAAAATCATTGTAAAATCAAATATATAGTGTAGGATTTAATAACACGTAGTTTTAGTTAGTCTTTATAAATCATAAATGTAAACGTATTTGACCCAAAAAATGTAATAACGTAAAATTTTGATATGGATTTTAAAATCATAAAATCAATACCACTGTTCTATTCAAATCCATTAAAATTCATAAACCAATAAGTTCATTAGGTTCTCCATCGCATATTTTTTTTTTTCTTTCAAATGAATGAAATCTTTAGAAGAAGATATGAATACTAGAAGGTTAGAATAATGTTGTGTGCATGACATCATGATAACTTGAGAGACCAATACATTGGAAACAATAAGCACTTAAAAAGTTGACTACAAAAGAATTTGTTTGACCGATGATGTTCTTATTCTTGTCTACATTCTCTTTGGATTTTTTGGTCGAATAAAGATTACCTAATTGACACTCACAAACTTTTAAGAAAATCGCAACCAATTTCTCTATATTTTCAACACCATTTTGTTGTTGACCTAATTTGGAAAAGAAAAATCAAAGATCAAAAATCAAGTGCCATTTTTCAACACGGAATTAGATTTTTAAAATATTCAAATTCGATGTGTCGTGTTTGAAATGTTTTTCGATTAATCAAGAAATAAATAAACCTTTTTTAAAATAAAAAAAGATGATTAGTTGAGTGGAGGAGGAGTTGGTGACTTAAAATTCTTCATACGAAGACGAGACAAAGCACATAGAGACAACAGAAATAAAAAATACCGATTGATTTTCCAGCTCACTGAAATTTTCTAAATCATCAAATATTTCTTGAGAAAAAACCCATTAACAAAAAAAATATAATTCACCATCAAATTATAGATAACTTGGTGCAAACTTAATAAAACGAAATTATTATTAAAACTTTTTGCATTATTGTAGAATGTATATAGAGATAAAGAGAAATATCAGGGCGTGGTGAGCCAACAACTTTCGCCCTACATTTCTTATTATTGTTTCTGTCAATTTTGGTTTATATTTTGGTGATTTCTATTTGGACCCTTGTCACATGCATCACGAGTGATAATGAATCATTATTCTTGTACTACTCCCTAAGAATTAAGTCACTTCAAAATTCGAGTGGTCGTATTTTTGTTTGTTTTTTCAAAATTTGGATACGATGATGTTGTGTCGTAAATAGATAGAAACCACTAAACTAAGAGCTCCTCAATCAAGATGATTACTTAATTGAGTTTGACATTTGTAGGCTGGGATGTGTTTCGGACTTAGGTCCATTATCTGATTAAGGCCCAATTAGTTCACACATCGAAATAGATATAAGTAGAAATGAGAGAAATAGGCTCAATAGATAAGACCATTATTTTTCTGTTAAAACAGTTTAAATTTTTAATTGAATTAAGCCAAATGGCCCATAAGAATAAGACTATTATTTATATGTGAAGTAAAAAATTCTATGTGGCGGACTCTCATCGATTTGAAGTGGTTAATTATTGTCCTACCCTTAACAAATTTGATAAATTTACACCCTTGCCATCGAACTAATTTGTGCTAATAGATTTGGGCTTGATTTTTAATTGTTTTACTATAGATTTCGTTAAGCCCATTAACCTATACAATATTCGTTCGGATTTATGTAAATCTTCCATCATTATATAAACGTATACATAAAATATTCATAGTTTTAATTATTTGGCTAGATATTATCTTATTAGTTGTAGTTGAAACCCTAACTTATTTATGTATATATACATACATATGTTCTCTCTACCCACTGAATATAAGAATTTCTGGTTTTCTCACCCTATATATTCGTTTCTTTTCTCTCTCTTCTACAATTTCTTCCTCCTATCAGACGTGGAAAACGATTCGGAAAATCTGACGAGTGCTCCTGCTGCTGCGAATACGACTGATACTACGGGAGTTCCGACTGATCCTCCTCCTGCTCCGACTTCCACTGGTACTCCTGCTGCTGTGACTCCGACTGGTACTTCGGGAGTTCCGACTGCTCCTCCTCCTGCTCCGACTTCCAGTACTCCTCCTGCTGAGACTCCGACTGGTACTTCGGGAGTTCCGACTGCTCCTCCTCCTGCTCCGACTTCCACTGGTACTCCTCCTGCTGCGACTCCGACTGGTACTTCGGGAGTTCCGACTGCTCCTCCTCCTGCTCCGACTCCGACTGGTACTCCAAAAGTTCCGACTGGTCCTGCGACTCAATCTACTACAAGATTCCTTCAGGAAAGGGTTCTTACTCACCTCCTGCGTTTGATAAGGAGTTTGACCCACACACTTCGTGGTCTGAACAAAGGGGGTTATTTCGTGATTCTCTAGACCCTCCACTACATAATTTGCAGGAGAGATTTGATGTTTTAAAATTTAATATTGATATATATTTTGGTCATTCTCCTAATGCTTAAAAAGATTACATTTTAAAGATACCCGGTTATAACATATCCGATTGTAATGAGACTAAACCGTCATCAGTGGAGCCGCTCTTGAATCAATTGAACTGAGATTGTGCTCAATTAACCGA